GATTACTAAGTACTCCCCTGACTAGTAGGAGTTCTTAAAAGGTCAACTTGCCATCCCCCTGTCTCTAGGTCACAATCCACTGAGATGACCTCCTCAGGGTGTGTGGAAGCTAGAAATCATTGTCAAGTACCTGGCTTAGGAGTTTGGCTTCCCCAGCTTCTTCCTTCCCCTCATTGTTCCCTAGACCCAAACCTAGCTCTAATATTTGGGAGATTTGGTTGGAAAGAGCCTCTTCTTTGGTCATTCTCTCTTTGGCCCCTTCCCATCTTGCACATACAGTTAACACTGTAAAAGGAACATACACAATGTGCTTAAACTACCTAGAAAAGGAAAGGAAAAGAGTCAGGACAGGATCCTCATTCTTAAGGAATCCATAGTTTTAAGCAAGAATTGGTAAGATGAGAGCTTTCAATCTACAAAATCCACGAAAGCCCACTGAAAGCAACCATTTTGTATTACAAAGGAAGAAAATGAAGCCTAATAAAATGTCAAAGAAGCTTGGATTTGAGCCTCAGCATTTGACTTTCATAAAAAGCACATGAGAACACAAACCATTCAATTATTCACATGGGCATGAGATATATCTGGAGGTATTCTAATAAACGTTTAATAACCAACCACCTCTCTCTCCCACTCAAATTAAGCAATAAGTACTTTTAATTTGCATTATTAACATTTCTCCATCATTTCTTAGGTCTAGATAACCAACAAAACAATAAATCAAACTCTGATTTGTAGTCTTTGCCAATTACCAATTTTGGAGGTGTCAAACTGAAAATTTAACAATTGGCTGGTTTGAGCTGGCTTCAGCACACCCCTGGACATATCTCACTGCACCTCAGGAGAACTGCATATATATAATATGTGTGTGTATGTACATATGCACATACGTATACATACATATCTATGTATGTATATTTGGCAGGAGCAAAAGGATAAGGGTATGTGAAAAGGAGTAGAGTAACTAGGGCTAGGTGGGTCTAAGAAGACTTTATAAAGAAGTCAGGTTTTGAACAGTGTTCTGAAAAAAGAGAGGGATAGGGGTTGGCAGAAGGAAGATATGACTGAAATCCCAGCTTTTCCACTTCCTCCCTACACCTTCCCTCTAGTGAATCCTGTCAATACTACCAAGTGACTGGAAGAAATGGAAAGGGGTGGGATTAGTCAGAGAAGGCTGATTAAGGATGTCAGAAAAGTTTTGTCTTGGTTTCTCTATCTTTGTCTCACTGATTTCCCAGTGTATTCCCCCCCCACCCCCATGTTGAAGGGAATTGGAGGTGGAGAATGTATTTGAGCCTCTGGAGCTATAAACAGGACCCATCAGTGCTCGCGCTCTCTCTCTCTCTTGCTCTCTCTCTCTCTCTCTCTCTCTCTCTCTCTCTCTCTCTCTCTCTCTCTCTCTCTCTCTCTCTCTCTCTCTCTCTCTCTCTCTCTCACCACACACACACACACACACACACACTATTTGTGGATGTATTTCCTCTCTTCCCTGGCTTTTACTCAGGGAAGGATATACCCAAGCCTATGTAGGTTGAGGGACACATCTGTTGCCACTGTGGCAATCACATAACTCAAGAACACTGAAAACAGGCCTTTCAGATGGGCATGGGAAAAAAAAAAAAAAGAAGCCAGCCAAAATGAGAGAAAAGGAATCCATGAATGAAGGAAGCCACTCAATATTTGGTCCTGGAACAGATGCTACAATTTTGAGTGTTGTTACTTATGGAGACCAATTTTAGACCTCCCAGAAGTTTTCCTTCATTATTGACAGCAGAGGTTTATGATGGATTACTAAGTACTCCTCTGACCGGCAGGAGTTCTCAAAAGGTCAACTTATCCATCCCCCTGTCTCTCGGTCATACTCCAGTGAAACCATCCCAGTTAAACCTGAGTCTTCAATTTTGTTTCAAACCACCACAGAAGCAGACTGAGCAGTTCTCCCAGTGGCTCAGTGGTAAGAGAATACAGAGTCTTAGTCTGGGAGAGAGGAGCCTAGTGTCAGAGTTCCAGCTCCACCAGAGACATTGAGAATTCATTCCACAAAGATTCATTAAGTATTAAATCTGTCTAGAACACTGTGCTAGGTGCTGGAAATAGGAAGATAAAAATGGCATTGTCCCTACCTTCAAGCAGTACATGTTGGATAGGGGAGGGAGTGGTGGTTATGATATGTGTGCTGATAAATACAAGAGAAGTACTCCGTGATAGGGGTAAAGGAAAGAACTGGTAGAGATCTAAGAAGATTTGGGGAGGGAGAGGATACCTTAGCTGGATGGGATCAAGGAGAGCTCTGTGGAGGAGAGAGCTCCTGAGCTAAAAACAAAACAAAACAAACAAACAAAAACATTGAGAAGAGGGAGTGCATTTCCAATATAGGGCATGACCCATATGAATGCATAAAAGCACAATACAACCAAGGATTACATGGAGAGCTGCCAGGGGCCTTGGAGATGGTCTAGTCCAACCCCCTCTTTTTATAGATGAGGAAACCAAGGTCTAGTGAACTTAAAAATTACTTGTTTAATGTCACACAGGTAACAAGTGACAGTTAGGATATGAATCTAGGCCCTTTGAACATATATATATATATATATATATATATATATATATATATATATATATATATATATATATATATATATATATATATATATATATATATATACACACACACTTATATTTGAATCTATGACACCAGGAGAACATGGTATAGTATCTAGAGAGCTAGCCTTAAAGCCAGGAAGATCTGGTCTAAATTGTCCCTCTGCCCATAATAGTTGTATGACCCTAAACAAGTCATTTTACTTCTCATGGCCCTAGGCAACTCTTTAAGATGCTAAGTGACCAAGAAGGTGCTGATCTGCTTTCATAAAGGGAGCTTTCTTACCTGGGAGTCCCCTACATGAGTGAAATCACAGGATCTGGTCCCTATCTCCAAAGCTGAATAATTTCCACCTGATCCAAAGAGTAATTGTGAGAATAATATAATTTAGGCATGAAAGAGCTTTGAAATATGTCTCGTAGAAGAGTAAGCCAATTTGGGGTCAGGGAAAGGTCGGACTAGATTCTTCCTTCCCTAGGAGTTCCTAGGAGATTTGCTTGGTCTAGAAGCTCTCAGCATCATGATTACAGAGGGAATTCTCCTGAGCTCTCTGTGTTTAACTAGCATCTTTGATCCAGGGCCAAAGACTTTAACACTTGAAGGACCAGGTACAAGAATTTGCTTGGTTCTTCAAGGCATTCTTAAATTTCCACAGTTTAACTGAGCCTTGCAGACAGGGTTATAAGAAGCCCAGAATGCAGTTAATCTGGGGTTTAAAAGCTGTTGAAGGAACAAAGTCTGCCTTTCAGAATCCCGTTTGCAGATTAATCTTTTATCCAGTGGTTATTGAGTGGTTGAGGCAGAGGGAGCCAAGTTGGTTATAGAGAACTATAAATTGTGTCCCTTCCTTTGAGAAGGGTACAGTCTGATTGAGGAGCAGGACTGGAACACATGTGAAATAATCCAGTCAAGCAAAAGTTAGAGGAAAGATCAGTGTAGACTGGAGTAGTCAAGAAAGACTTCCTGAAGAAGGTTGGACCTGAACTAGTCCTCAGAATGAATAGGATTTAGAGGGGGACAAGGAGGGTAGGTCTGGTAGGGGAAACAGCACCAACAAAGAAACAATTAGAAATGGGCATTTCCCACGTGAAGGAGGTCTCATATGGGGATAGGAACATCAAAGGTGAGTGGCAGAGTCCAGGGACGATCTTGCCTGTCTCTTGCCTTCAAGAAGAATCCCTTTCCCACAAATGAGAGATTTCCATGGGGAAGAAATGTCCCCAGCTTCTCTTCTGTCCTCTGTCACCACCCACAAGTCTGGCTGCAGGGAGCACCCTCAGTGTGTCTAACTTTATCCTATCATAGCCTTAGCCCCTAAGATGGGGATTGTCTCATTCTTTGTATTTGTAATCTAGTACAGTGCCTGGCACTAGTAGGTGTGTTATAAGTACTTACTGATTGATTTCTTCTTTTTTTAAAATTAGTGGGCAAAGGCTGATCACAGTCCTTGACTCAGAGGTCCACATATATCTGCAGTGTGTGTGTGTGTGTGTGTGTGTGTGTGTGTGTGTGTGTGTGTGTGTGTGTGTGTGATGATGTAACACTATCTACATAACCCTGGTGGGACTGCCTACCAGGCTGTAAGCTCAAAGAGAGCAGGGCTGTTTTGTCTCAATTTTGCATCTCACCAAGCCCCTAACACAGCATTTGGAATACAGCAGGTGTTTCATTAATGCTTGTGGAATTGGATTTCATACCCCTACCTCTGCTCCTTGGCTTCCAAAGAGGCCAACTGGGTCAGCAGGATTAGTTGGGAATCCTTCTCCCTGGGTCTTCCCAGGAGAGGAAACTGATGACTAGAAATGAAGTGAGCTGTCCTCCAGCCTAGGGCTGAGCACACTATTCCTTAGAATTATCAGATTGTAGATTTAGAACTAGAAGGGAACATAGAATCCAGTTATTTCATTTTACAGATAAAGAAACTGATGCCCAGAGTTTAAGTGACTTGCTTAGTCATACATACAACTGGGAAAAATAGAATATTAGGAGTTCAGCTACTACAATCCACATAGGCAGCTCTTGGTTGAATGCTAAAGAAACAGCTAATATTTATATAATACCGTAAGTTTCAAAGCACTTTCTAGACTTATCTTATCATTTGGTATTCATGATCCCCCAGTGAGGTAAGTGCTATTATTATTCCCATTTTACAAATGAAGAAAGTGAGGTATAGTAAGTGATTTACCCAAGGTCCCACAGCTAGTCAGCACATGTGGCAGGATTCGAGGTGGACTTTCCTGATTCCAAGTCCTGTGCTCTTACTGTGCCACCTAGCTGCCAATCATCTGCCCTTCGCCACGGCCCAGTACACAGTAGACTCTTAATAGATGCTTCTTGCCTTGGTTGCGGAATTCTTCGCCCGCTCTTTCTCACTGAGCCCCTCACTCTTTCTCTGCAGGGGGAGCTGCTGAGTCCCTGTCGCTGCGACGGGTCAGTCAAGTGCACACACCAGCCCTGCCTGATAAAGTGGATCAGCGAGAGGGGCTGCTGGAGCTGTGAATTGTGTTACTACAAGTACCACGTCATTGCCATAAGCACAAAGAATCCTCTGCAGGTAAAGGGCCAGGGGCGGGGCCGCGCCTCTCTTCCCCAGATCCCAGGGCCCCTTGGAGGGATGTGGACATTCTTGGGTTTGAGGAGGGAAGAAATCATCGTGATCCCCACACCCCAAGCTGGTTTTCGCTTGTTTTCAATTCAAAGTCCTTTCTTCTAACCGGACTTTCTGCTTCTCCTTTCTCTAATCCATGTTTACATTGCAGGCAGAACGAATCTTTCAGAGTGCACAAATGTTGTTGCTTCTCTGCTAGAAACTTTTCAGTGGCTCTCTTCTACCTGCCAAGTCAATTTCAAACTCCTTCAAGACCCTCCAAAATATGATGTCACTTTCCTAGTCTTTTTCTCCTAATACTACCCTCCATATGCTCTTTTTTTTGTCTCCAAAACACCTCCTCCCACTTCCTGCCTCCATGCCTGTATTTATAGTGTTTCCCGTGCATGGGATGCCTTTTGTACCCATCTCTCACCCCCCTCACGCCATTGAATTCCTAATTGTATTTTTTTTTGTGAGGCAATTGGGGTTAAGTGACTTGCCCAGAGTCACACAACTCAATCATCTTTTAAAGTCCAAGTCAAAAGCCGCTTCCTCCATGAAGCCTTGCTTGATTCCCCCAGCCAGAAATTAGCTTTCTATTACTTCGGCATCTTAGCTTTTTATTTGCCTCTCTCATGCACATAACATATTATTTGGAATTATAATTCTTGCATATGTGTAATATTTCTCCTGTAGTCCCCTCTAGGGCAGGAACAGTATGTCCCACTGTATCTCTCCAACATACCTAACACAGTTCTCTGCACACAGTAGGTGCTTAATAAATATTAATGGAGTTGAATTAGAGATAGGAGGAGGGGGTTGACTGGAGTCCTTAGGTTGGCATGGGGGAAGAAGTGGAGACAACATGAGTCAGAGAAAGATGACAGGGAATGATGAATAATGGGGGTACAGAAGTCAAGGAGAGGGATGGGGAGAGAAGAGAGAAGAATTGGGGTAAAGAGAGGAGAAAGAACAGAGAGAGGAGATGAAGCATAGAAAAAGAGGGAGGAAAGAGAACAAAGAAAGAGGCAGAAACAGGAAAAATAAGAATTAGGAGAGAATAATAGAGAGTTGAGAAGACAAAATGATGGGAGGACAAATAAAAGGGGGGGAGGAAAATTTAGGGATAAACAAGAGAAAAGACAAGAGTCAGAGAGATGAAGAGAGGAAGGAAACTGACATCAGAAATGGGTGAAGTTAGTATATGTGTTTTACCAAGCAAGACCGTCTTCTTAAACCCCATGGAATGAGCCGTGACCTTGCTGCCCAGTTCTCCCCACCCAGATCCCACTTGCCAAGGCCTGGCACATCTATGAGAACCAAAGGACTTGGCAGACCCCAACCGTAAACACTCGTAAATCCCCCTATCCAAAGGCAGCTCTGGGTGAGAGGCATCCACATAAATAAAGTGATTTGCTTCTGAAAATACCACCGCACATGCATAATTAGTCAATTAAGCTGCCACATAATTAATTAGCCAGTGCATAAGTGAGGACGGGAGCATCAGTTGGGAAGTTAGCACCGTTGGTGTGTATTTCTATCTTCTCTTCCTCTTAATGGAAAAATGCAAGTGGCCTCTTTGGGCTCTAGGGAGCCTTGAGAGTCCATTGCCAGGGCTACTGGGCCTGGAAGGAATAAATCCCAGATGCAGCCACAGAGCAGCTAGAGCAACCATTCTCCAGGGCATGTTCTATTGCCTTCCTGAGTCCTGGCAAGAGGATGTATTGGGGTACAGTGGAAAATGGACTGGCTCTGTAGTTAAAGGTCTGGGTTCAAATGGGTAAATCACCTTACCTCTGTGGCCTCAATTTCCTTATCTAAAAAGTGAAAGGTTTGAGCTGAATAGCTTATGAAGTCCCTCTAAATCTATGACCTTATGACCCTTCTTTCAGTTGTCCCCTTAATGCAGGAGTGGAACAGGATGGTGTTGGGACTGAACTTTAGGGATCTGAGAGAATTTGGGGGAGGGTATTACAGAGAGGGTACAAAAAAAACTTGGGTAGAAGGGGATCTAAAGAAAATGTGTTTTATGCATTACATGTAGGTTATAAAATGACTACAGATGCAAGGTTTCCGAAATTGTGTGCATTGTACTCCTATTTCCCTTCCACCCACCCCCATCATTTGTTTATAAATCTCGAATTTAGTAGCAGAACTAAGCCAGTGGATTTCAGGTCCTCTGCAGACAGACCAGAGACAAAAGGCACTTTACCCAGGTCCTCTTGAGCCTGAGATAGTCACATTAACCCATTAACACTTTCGACCAAAACCATGAAGAAGGGTTGGATCACAACTCAGGATGCCCCTTACAAATTCCCAAGCAGCAATTATCTACTTTTAGACTGTAAGTCTCAGAACCAGTCTGGGCTAACTTTTCACTAAGGAATCCAAAATATCCTATCTATGCACACTATAGCCTGAGAAGTCCATTCAATATTTTGTTTCTGAGAGACATCATATAACAGAGAGCCCTGGCCTGGGAGCCAGATGACCTAAAGTCAAGTCTCAGCTTTGCTAATTTTCCAGCTGTCTGACCCTTGCCGGACAGATTGCTTCTGTGGACCTGTTTCCTTATCTATAAAATGGGGAAATGTCTCAGCATCAGGAAGACCCAGGTTCAGATCCTGCCTTTGACACCCACTGGTGCTGTGTGAACCTCTCCACACCAAGGGAGGCAGCTCCCTAAGTTGCTAAGATGGAGGAGCTCATGTGCATTGGTAGAGGGAGTTCCTCAGTAGGAGCTCTCTATTTCAATGAAATTTCAAATCTGGTTTAAAAAAAATGAGGATTGTAAAACTTGTCCTAACCCCCTCCCCCTACAGAATTATTGTAAGAAACTGTTTGGTAAATTGTAAAGTGCTGTATGCACCTGAGTCGTTAATCTCACCTCCATCTGGGTCGCTGCCATGTTTTCAGCTGCGAGTTCCTAGAAGTCGGACTGTGCCCCTTTGCTTGCCTTGGTGTGTGCAAAGGTGGGTAATTTTCACCATCCCCAAAGTGAGAACACCAGCAGAAGGAAGGAGCCCGGCTCCCCCGGAGCATTCTGTGGGCAGGGCACAGCTTGTGGGCTACATTGCTTACTCGTGTTGGTTCCCAGCAATGAGCCAGACAGGAGCTGTCAAGGGAGGCACCACTGCTCAGTTCCAGTGAGACCTTCTGTCTTGCAGACTGAGAGGTGGGATGAAGTGGGCCTTCCTGCAAACAGGCTGCAAAGAGGGTGATGGGAAAGTAGAGCCAGGGGCTCCAATCTTGGTGCTGCTAAATGCAGTTCTGTGGGACCTCAGCAGGGTCTCTTTGTTTCTCTCTGACCTGCAGCCAGGTTCATGCCCCATATAGAGACTACTGGGTGGTTCAAGATGCCCAGTCATTGGGAAAGATGTTAGAGTCTAGCAAGGAAAATAGGATGTGCATGCAAACAATTATAATGCAAATCAGACAATCAGTGGAAAAGAGAGATTCAGACAAAGTGCCAGAAGGAAGGTGAGGGACACATGGTGGAGCTGGAGGTCTCAGAAGACTTCATGGAGGTAGTAGGATGGTAGAATGTCTCCTATAGAGTTGGCAAGCCAGAGGATCTAGACTTAGATCTGGGCAGGACCTTTGAAGTCATCTAGTCCATCATGTAGTTCATACTCCTTCCCCATTCAATGATTTACCCAGAGAAGTTACCAGGGTCATTAGGTTAGCAAGTAGCTGAGCTGGACCTTGAACCAAGATCCTTTGACTCCAAAACCCACATTCTTTCTACTCTATTACTTTCCTAGTCTAATAATCAATCAATCAATAAACATTTATTCAGCAATAACAACTGTTGGTGACCCAGCGGGGCTGGGACACTGCATCTTCTCCCTCTCCATCAAGATGGCCCTTCTGTTCTAGAGGCAATTCAGTGGCCTCTGATGAGAAGGGTTAGACTCCTTTTCTCACATTTGTTAGCTTCTTATGCTTACACCCTGGTATACCCAGAGAAGACTTACTTAAAGCTTAGGTTTTGTTCTAAGGTCTCCCCAAAAGAGGATCAAAGAAGTACTCAATGTACAATGTAAATAAGGATTGGGACAGGTGTTTATTTCCTCTACACACACAGAAAAATGCTTAGCATAAAAGGCTCTCACAAGTTTCACTGGAAGAACACCAGCTAACTAAACTAAAATTCTGCCTGGAAGTTGGGACTTAAAACCATTGAAAGAGAAGGCATTTTCTGAGACTGCAGAATCTCGTCCATTTTATACTTTATCTCACTTCTGTGCCATACCCTTTGAACTTGACACCTTCCAAAGTGCAGCTGGCCCTGGCTGAGGATTGTGGCTTTCAAGCCTGTTCCCTCCTATCTCAAGATCAATATTCACCTGGGACCAGACAAAGAAGCCCAAAGAAGAAGCAATCAGAGGCCAAGGTTCAACTCTTGTAGTTGAGCCCCTTCTCCCCAACTCTACCTGACACATAGAAATAACCAACATACAGCCAAGGTGGAGAAAGACCACCCCTACACCCTTCATCCAAAGTCCTAGTTATATGATGCCACCTAGAGGTTCTAAGAAAGTCCGAACCAGGTGAAGTCACTCCCTTTTTAAACTTCCACCGAGTCATAGGCTTCTGCTGCTCAGTGGCCAATGAGGACATGGCTTCATCATCCTCAAAGGACCTCAGCAGGAGTCATACACGGCCAACTGCAACCAGCTAGGGGCACTGACATTCCCAAAGAACCCAATCAGTGAGTGAGCATACGGCTAGTCACACTAGAACTGGAATAGCTTTACCTCTGAATACAGAATGTCCAAAGAGGAGACATTAGAAAAAATTCATTCTGAAACTAAGTATCTATCCCCCAGCTTCTTTCTGATTCCCCTTAGTTAGAGTAGAGAGAGATGCTAAGATTTAGATCATTGACAGTTCTTCAGTTATGCCTCAGAAGGGGAAAAGATACTCTCTGAGTTGCCCTCCTCTCTCCTACTATGGAGGGGTCCATGTTGTACCATAAGGGATGCACCAGGCCTCTTACTATGAAGGACAGATTTAGGTGAGATCTGATGATGAATTAACAGAATAATGGATATAATTCATGGTCCAGGGTTCCCAGGCTCTGGGTTTGTAAGAACAGCATTCATTCTTACAGACTAATTCCCAAACTCATTCTTTGGTTTATTCTGCCCCCTATCCAGAGTTTACTCAGGGAAAATCTGTGAATATAGACTGGGTCTGGGTTTCTATATATGTGGTCAAAAGCTCTCCCAAATCCCATACAAGCACACAAATTAACATAAATATATCATCTGCAAGACAACCTTCATTCTATCCCACAAAAAAGTAAAGATGTATGAAAGGATTCTCAATAGCCTCTAAAAAATCAAAACAAATCTCATCCTAAAGTCCTCCATACTCATAAGGCTACTTTTGTGATTTGAATTCCCTTCAGAGAGGAAAAGAACTTAGGATGGCTAGACAGCAACACCCCAACATTCCAATGAGACTCTCTCACCTCGGAGATACATACAAACAATTAGTCTTATGATACTACCCTAAGACCTTTGGACTACCTCTGGAAAGAAAATGTGCTTGACTTGCTGGACAGGCAACCTTCTTCCCAGAAAATAATCATGGCAACAATAAAATGCCATCCTTAGAATACTCTTAGAATTTCTTCTAAAGAAGTGTGTGTGTGTGTGTGTGTGTGTGTGTGTGTGTGTGAGGAGAGAGAGAGAGAGAGAGAGAGACAGAGAGAGAGACAGAGACAGAGACAGAGACAGAGACAGAGAGAGAGAGAGAGACAGAGAGAGAGAGAGAGACAGAGAGAGACAGAGAGAGAGAAAGAGAGACAGAGAAAATGGGGGGGGCAGAGCAGGGAGAGAATCATAGAGAGCCCAAGAAATTCCGCTAACCAACCCTAAACACATCACATCTTGAAGTTGGAGGAAACCTCAATGGCCATCTAAGCCAACCTGTACCAGATCAGAATCCTCTCCACCAGATGCCTGTCAAGAGCTTAGTTTGGGGACATGTTGAAGTTCATGTGATGGAGGGATATTCTTAACAAAGGAAAAGATACTTGGCAGGTAGTTGACGATGTACAGCTGCAGTTTAGAGGAGAAAGTTTAAAGCTGGATTGGTAAATTATATTTATCAAGGTGTTAATTGAATATGGAAATGGATGAGGTCATCAGGGATTGAGTATAGAGGAAAAAAAGGATTTAGGATAGTCTTTGGAGTCACCCAAATTTAGTGTGTGGTGAGGAAGATGATTCCAAGACCAAAAATTCTTATAGGTCATTCCTGGCATTCAAAACCAACTCTAGCACCCATTTTTGCCTTAATTTATGCAACCTCAGGCTTGGTAACACAATAATTTTTGTATCTTTCGCTGAGCAGAGAGTAAAGATTTCTATTGGTGTCCAGGCATGCCTGTAAGAGTGGTCCAGCCAAAAGCTGCTCCTTGATGGTGCTTTGTCCATAATTATATTCTGTTTTATTCCTTTGGATCTTCTATGAACTCTGGACTTTTCTACCAGCACAGACCCCCTCTGGATAATTTTTTTTCGTCTGTGGATATTGAGGGTTATATGTGCTGTGTCTTGTTCAGAAGCTTGCAAATACATCAAAGATTGCAATAAGCCAGGAAGCTGTGATCTGGATACCAGTGGATTTGGGAGAAGTAGAGTGTGGGGAAAGCTGTGCAATCATCTCGCTAATCTCCTGTTCTGTCCTTTCCAGTGGCAGGCCATTTCTCTGACGGTCATTGAGAAAGTCCAGATTGCAGCAGCCATCCTGGGTTCTCTCTTCCTCATTGCCAGCATCTCTTGGCTCATCTGGTCCACCTTCAGTCCCTCGGCCAAATGGCAGCGCCAGGACCTCCTGTTCCAGATCTGCTATGGGATGTATGGCTTCATGGACGTGGTGTGCATAGGTGGGTCACTATGGTTGGCTCCCCAGTGGGCAGGGGAACAGATGACTCCAAGGCCCAGAGACCAACAGCTCTCTTTGCAAGGGAGAGGGAAGTCTTCTTGGGTCTGGCTTTGGAAGGTAGACATAAACAAGATTTGAAGATCTCAACAGTGTGGGATCTGGGAAGCCTGGAGGTAAGTATTACATAAGGGAGAGGTGAACACTTTCCTCAGCAGAATAAGATCAGGAGGCTTGACTCCAAGTGCTGACCCTGTAGCCTTCAAAGACAATCAAAGCTTACCTGAGGAATGTCACTCTGCTCTTCTCCCTCCCATAAATATATAGTCACTTCTTAGAAGGACAGTTTGTGAAGTTGTCTCAAAATTTATTCACATGGTATTCACATTCACTTAATAATGTATGGCAGGGTGGTCTGTTGGAAATTGGAGTCAGTGGACCTGGGTTCAAGTTCTGGCTCTGATACTTACAAAGTGTGACCATGAGCAGATCACTTTAACACTCCGGGCCTCAGTTTCCTCATCTGGAAAAGAGGTCACTAGGATTAGATCAGGGGTTCTTAGACTTTTTTGTGTAATGGACACTTGTGATAGTTTGAAGCTTATAGACACCTCAGAATAATGTTTTTAAATGCATAAAGTAAACTACACAGAATTACAAAAGGAAATCAATTATAATGAAATAAAGATGTAATTTTTGTTTTCCTTTTGAAGTCCACAAACTCCCTGAAATCTATCTGTACATCTCTTAAGATTCTGTGGATCTCAGGTTAAGAATTTCTGGTTGGATTAGATGTTTTCCAAGGTCGTTTCCAGATCTAAATCCTTCTATAAATGCATGACAATGTGTTAACCACTAGTCTTGTTCCCCATAGATCAGTCCCTTATTCCTCCCAGATCCCTCGCAGAAGTTTCTGCTCCTTCCTTCTCTGAGCTCTATTATGCCAGGTTGAGCTAGCATAGCCTGGAAACACCAGATGAACCCCATGTATGTGTGCCTAGCCTTGACTGTTGCATTTAAGATCCTGCATACTATTTGTACATGTAGAGATTTTTAGTCTCTTCTGAATTCTGAGTGATATGTGATTTATTACTTCACCCATTCTTTATCGCTGTCTTCAGGAGTTGTCAGTTTGCAAGGTTTGGTCTTTTTCTGAAGGTAAAAAGAACAGGACTTCAGCAGGTCTCACACTTGGCCAACTAGCAGAGACTTTGCCAAGGACCAGAGTGAGCGCCAGGTGACAGCCTCAGTGGCTTCACATTTCCTTGGTAGTATTCTGCTAGGAGCAGCCACAAGAGCCTTTTGCCTTACCTCCTATTCAGTGTTAACACTAACATTTCTTCTGGAGGAAGGAGAATTATATTTCTAATGGACCTTTTAATGCTGGGAATGTCAGGGTCCATCAGTCTCAGGCGTGGGTTCACTGGAGAGAATGTCATCAGAGACACAACTGTCCAAGGCTTGTGCAGTTATCTGGGCCCAAGATCTCAGACAGCTTGCAGCACAGCCTAAGGTACAAGACTTCCCCAGGGATGGATAAAACTCAAGGGAATGATAACACAAACACACTGAGAAAGCTGTAGCCCTCCTACTCCAGCTACACAACTTGACCACAAGAAGATTTCATCAGCAATTTTTCTCTTCCTTCCTCCAATGCACATACTTCTCTAACAAGAACACAGAGGGCCAATCTCTTAGACTCTCTCTCTCTCTCTCTCTCTCTCTCTCTCTCTCTCTCTCTCTCTCTCTCTCTCTCTCTCTCTCTCTCTCTGTCTCTCTCTCTCTCCTCTCTCTCTCTCTCTCTCCCCCCATCCCCCATTGTATATAGGCACCCTCAAAGTAAAGAGAGACTGGTGTCCTTTTTTGGGCTGTGGGAAGCAGTTGCTGCCTTCCTGTCCCCTAAATCAACTACCTTGTCTCTCTGACTGAGGTAAAAGGAAATCACACATGTCAAAAGGAAGCTTCTTTTGGCAAGATTCCCATGAGATCATTTAAAGGTAAATGCCGCCTGTGGAAGGAGAGAAGCTGTCTTTTCCAAGAGGCTATACCTTCACAGGCAGACTTTGCATCCTGGAGCTGTCAGTCTTAGAGTGATTTCCTCTTGTTTCTATACTTTTCTCTGTATATTCTCTTACATATTCTCTCTCTCTCTCTCTCTCTCTCTCTCTCTCTCTCTCTCTCTCTCTCTCTCCATATTTGTCTGTTACTTTCGTAAGTTTCTCATGTTGTCTAACTATATTTCCTCTGTCTCTCTTTATGTAGGCAGCCCTCTGTCTCTCACTCTGCTTCATTTTATCTCTCCTATAAGGACAGAGTGCCATACATTTCTGTTTCTTACAGTTTTTTTTTCCTTTTTTTCCCTGTTGTTAGGAAAACAATTTCTGAGGATTTAGTATCCCATTGTGCCAAATCCATCTGGTCAGGAGGGGGCCCCATTCAGCCCCGACAAGTTAGTCACTGCTTGAAGACAGTAGCTGGGCTGCAGAGAGAAATGCCGAGGGACTCTAATTGCTTTCTAGAGTCTATTCAGTTGCCATCAGAAAGCATCAAGAACAGTTTATAGTCTCACTCCAATGCCTAACTCCAGCGGGGAACAGACTGCTTTATCATTTTTTTGATTGTCATCAAATATTCTCCAGCTACAGAATCCTTCTGGGAAGTAGGGAGGGGCGCAGGGGTTATCTTTCCAGATTTACAGAGGAGGAAACTGGGGTTCAGGAACACTGAGTGATTTGTCGAAGATAGTCAGAGAACACAGCTTGTGCCCCAGCAGAGCTGGGTGCCCATTCCTGTGGTCTTTGAAGGCAATTGTGTGTCTGCCCTCACTGGAGAACAAGTAGAGGGTTAAAAATCAACAAGGAAGTAAAAATGGTTGAGAAATGAGAGGGGAGACAGTGGCAGTGGGTGGGGAGGAGATAGGGTAGATGGAACCTATGGGAAGAGTCAACCAATGGCTAAGATCAACAATCACTTAAGATTCAGCCTGGGGGGAGGGTACAGGGAAGAGTTTATTATTCTTAGCAATGATTACAATATCTAGCATTTATATAACACTTTAAGTTTTACAAAATGCTTTACAAATATTATTTTATTCTCACAACAACCTTGGGAGATAGGTGCTATTCTTATCTCCAATTTACAGATGAGGAAACGGAGGCAAATGTAAGTGGAGGGACTTGCCCAGAGATACACAGCTAGTGTCTGAGGCTGGATTTAAAATTGTGTCTTCCTGACACCAGGTGCAGCAACTCTATCCACTGAACTACCTAGATGCCAGTGGAACACAACCTAGTCCTGGCTCTGCTTTAAAGCTCACTAGTACTTGAATGGTTAGATTAATTCAATTCCTGGGTGAAGAAATCAATAGTAGCAAAGTAGCAGGGTGCACCATCCCAACCCCTTTTGTTTTTCAAAAGGTCTAAGGGGGAAAAGTCAAACTTTTGTCAACAATGAGACTTTTGCACTGACTGTGGTTTTCAATTATCAGAGTTTGATTCAAAGCAAAAGCATTCACTGAATCCCTCCTGTGTGCTAGGCACTAGAGATGAAAAGACGAAAGTGAAATATTCCCTCTCCTCTGTCAGCTTGCATTCAATTAAATGGCTACCGCAGCAAGAAGTCAATGATCCAAAGAGTATTTTGGTTAGACGTAGTAGGAGATATAGAGATGTATAAAATGTGATCCCTGTCCTCAAGGAGCTTATAATCTACAGAGATAGATGGGGAGATAAGATTGACACACAGTAAAGATCAGCATCGAGAATGCCAATGTCAAGAAGCATCTATTAACCACCTGCTATGTGTCAGGTACTGTGCTACAAAGAAAGATAAAAGATAGTCCCTGCTCTAAAGGTATTGAGAGTCTAATGTGGGAATGAAAACCATCACATAAGTGTAAAATTAGATATTGCTAACTCCAAATTCATGATTAATCAATGTGTGCTGCACTGGTCAGGAAAGGCTTTATGGAAGAGAAGAACTCACCTGAGCCTTGAAAGATGGGTCAGGTGGAAAGATTTAGACAAGTGGGAAGAAGAAGGTGATTCCAGGCAAAGGGGAGGACATGAACAATGGAGCCAAAGAAGAAGTGAGGAATAGTTGGTTCACAGGAGAGTGAGGAGGCCAGTCTAGTTGGAGCACAGACTTATTTCAGGGAAAAATGGCAAGTAAGATCAGGTAAAGTAAAAGTGCAGGAAGGAAGAAGGCTGGGAAAGGAAGAAGTTTGGAAAATCAAGGGGAAAGTCTGAGAAGACTGACTTACTTCTAATACAATATCATTAGATTTCCCCAGTGGCCAAACCCCTGGATAGTCTGGCAGGAGCAGTTCAAGCTCCCCTCCTGCCATGACCCTTGGCTCCTCTGAGCTCATGTTGCTGAAGCAGTGACCATTCATCTCACTACAGCATCTTGACTGAGTTTGAAGATATGGCTACCACAGTCATCAAGAGCCTTTTAAAAGTGTCTGGAGTAGCAAATATCTCCAAAGACGGTTCAAATACGAATTGATAGATTTTGTCTGAGTTGGCCAATAAGTATGTCTGTTTTTATTCAATTTCTGTTAGGGGGAGCAGGGAGCCTTCTCCAATCTTATGGTTAGAGAAAAGGGCCTTGGGCTTAGTCATGCCAACCAAACTCAAGCATCTGATGATACCAGCTACCACAGGATAGGAGATATCTTCTGAGTTGGCATCATGGAATATAAGATGCCCAATCAAACTCAGTGTGGCAGTGATGAGGGAACATGAAGGCTTCCTGAGCAGAAGAAGGAACCTAGGATACATTTACCTGGAGTAGCAAGATGACGAAGCAGCCATCCTGAACCTAGAACACAAACATGATGAAACATACCAACACCCCAGGACACCACATCACTATCCTCTTCTATTTTTTTTTTCAAGCAACGAAGTACCTAAGGGATTTCCAGCCTAATAGTATGGTCACTCTCCACCAAGTCTTACTTTGATACGTCGTTCTTAAACGCTGTATCAGTGAAACCCAAGCTCC